AGTATTTAAGATGTAAGAGTTATGTTTTGAAACATCAGAAACATAGTAGAACAGGCTGCAGAAGAGGAGGCCGGAAATGAGGGTTTTGGCAACTTCACCAGTCTCTCTTGGTCTTTTTCCTGGGTCGGGGTGGGTGTTAGTTCTTCAAGCATTGAGATGCTACAGGTGGTTCTAAGCCGCTGTGCACCTGCATACTCTCTGCAGCCCCCAAACAGCAGGTGTAATAATAAATCGGAGCTGTTCTGGAATTTTCCTTCCTGAAGCGTGCCTCTATCCTGAAATTGTAATTAGGAGCCAAACGAAGTGCTTCCAATTCAGATCAAGAAGGGCTGCCTCTACTTTATCATGATGTGAACCATGGAAGGGAACTTCTTGCATTTAAATCATTTTAAGAGTTAGAGATCCGGGGCTGCCAGCCTGCTGTATGAGTTCTGGGAAAACCCAGGAAATTGTGAATGTCAGCTTGGGTTTGTGGGGGCCAGGGAGGGGAGCGGAGAGGAGGTCACGATGAATGAGGTTAGGAGAGAGAAACTGCGGGGTGCACACGCGCTGAGAAAGCTTGCAGAAATCCCAGAAATGCTGGAAAGTGCTAAACAGCAACAGAAATGAGGAAAACAGAAGTTTGAGGGATTTTTTTTTAATACCTTTTTGTTACTTTTCAAAAGCTGGAAAATAAAAGATGGTGTAGAAGATAAACAAAGGTCCTCTCTCCCCAAAAAGTAGACCTAGGGCAGAAAATCCAGCTACCAGAACAGACCCATGGGTCTTACTGTCTTTTTTGTAATGCGTGTGAAGGGTCTCACACAGGTTGGGTGCACAGTGGGTCCTTGCTGAATCTGAATTCTCCTTTGAATAGGGGAATGGACTCAACTAGGGTTGAATACGTGGCACTTCTTTTTGATCTTTTTCACAGAAAGCTGGTAGGATTGCTCTGGACTCTCATGACGTCTCCTTTCAGACTAAGTTCAGTGACTTACCTACCCCATCGTGTGCAGTAATACATAGACATTTCTCAGGAATAACTTTCCCAGATGCATAAATTTCTGAGGAAGAGACCTTGATGTGCTGAGTTAAGCAGTAGTTGGTGTCAGGCATTCATCTTTTTGTTTGTTGATATCTTCCTTTTTTCCTTAATATTTAATTTTATTTACAACTTATAAAATACGAGTAATACATATACATAATTAAAACGTTCAAACAGTACTTGAAAATATGAAATACATACCAGTTTTCCTTTCTCAGTCTTTTTCCCGAATGTACTTTATCAGTCAAAAGCCAGACTCATTATTTCTCTGCTCCTGTACTTCTTATCTCATGTAAGGGACCAGCTATTCATATCTAAGGCTAGAAGTGGTTACCAGTTCTCTGTGTATCCTTCCAAAAAACAATTTAAGCATAATCCATATATATAGCATATTTGCTTTTTATGAACAGAAAGGATGCTGCTAAGGACACGCACTGTTCTCTGCTAAGCTGGTGTCACTTACGCCTCATCCTTCCCGATGGCTCCATGGTATGCTATGCTACAGATGCAGCATGACCCATTCACCCGGGCCCTCACTGATGGGTATTTAGGTTATCTGCTAATTTAAGCAGCGCTGCAGTGAGCATCCTTCCTGTTCCATGCTGTACACCGCTGCTGGGGCAGCTGGGGTGCTCCGTTCTAGTGGTGGGATGCTGGATCAAATGGTGCATGTATTTTAACTGGTGATATATTGCTAAACTTCCAAGAAGATTACACTAGTTTAC